CAAACAAACAAACAAACAAACCATTCGAAATCTTTCACTATTGCTAAGCCTTAACAATGAAATTTACTTGTAAAATACAACAGGTTGATTCAATGCGGATTATTTTATAACCACGAAATTCATAAACAAAACATGTATTTTATTTCCAGTTTCAATCAATCATTAATAAAAATTATATTTCTAAAAAACTGTATGAGTGAATAAAAAAATGACAAATATATACGAGATTATGCTGTATTTTTTAAATACAAAAAAAAAAGCGTGTTTTGCAGCTGTTATTTTACGTAAAATTTTGTTTCCAGTGCCGTATTCAAGTTATGCTTTCTTTTACCCCTTAGTTAAAGACAAAAATAAAGGCATACTTCTTTGGTTAAATGTTCATGAACTCGATATTAATTTCTAAGTTACTGAACTTCAAATAAGTAAACATTAAAAATTAATACGTCCCTTTATCCAATTGCATAATGGTCAATAATGTATAAATTCATAAATAGTTTATAAACAAAAATTTGTTGGAAAAAAACGACTTTTTTTAGCTAAATTTTTACGTTGACACTTAATTTATTTAATTAACTTATATTCTCTAACTTAACACTTTCATACGTCTAGAAATATCCAAACATTACAATAAATAAATATGACGTTCGGCTGGTTTAGATTATTACAAATAAATTTATTTGGAGACTATATATCTAAACTGACTATGCTATTGCCCCTGTCTAACAATTATTCAGGTTGTCCCAATCAGAAATACAATAAAATATAGAAAGTCCAGAACAAGAGCTTCAGGGAAAAATCTTACTATCCCTTCATGATTTATTCTCCAAACCCCGTTGAAACTCACAAAAGTAACATTAGTTACTAAGAGTCATGATTATGCAGGTACAAGATTTCTGGAAAACTCTTGTAAACGTAGCTGACATAACTAACACTCTTTAGGGCAGCTGTAGATTATCCAAAAGTGCTACATGCTTTGATAGAGTTTTAACTTTTGTCTATTAATCTTTAGTGTAGTGGTCTTGTCAAACTGCCCACAACAATTCACACATGCATCTAGCAAGCCATAAAGACTGCATAATTTCTTCTTTTGTTTTCATAGGATGGTTTGGACCCTAATGTGGATTCCCATTTTAAGTTCCCAATATATCAATGTCACCTTACTTCAATAACAATGCACAAACACATGTGGCGTTTTAGTTAGCTTTAATACATGAAAATAGGAAAATATTTTGGCCTCTAACTTCTAATAAACACAGATAATAATTGGCATACTGTGAACAGGATTCAAGCTGCTTTCATACTTCATGAAAGTACCATAATCATTTTACATATACAAACCAAGTCTTTATAAATTGAAACTACTCTCTCCTATCCATTTAGAAGATAGACAAAATGAAAAATTCACAGTTACTGACCAGTGAAAGTCGTTATATATACGAGTTTCTTCATTCTAACTCCAAGAGATATGCTTTAGTTAATAACAACATAAAGTATATTCACAGTTACTGACCAGTGAAAGTCGTTATATATACGAGTTTCTTCATTTTAACTCCAAGAGATATGTTTTAGTTAATAACAACATAAAGTACATTCGCAGTTACTGACCAGTGAAAGTCGTTATATATACGAGTTTCTTCATTCTAACTCCAAGAGATATGTTTTAGTTAATAACAACATAAAGTACATTCGCAGTTACTGACCAGTGAAAGTCGTTATATATACGAGTTTCTTCATTCTAACTCCAAGAGATATGTTTTAGTTAATAACAACATAAAGTACATTCGCAGTTA